CAGGGAGAATTGTAAAACTTTCTGAAGAACTGGGAAAAAGGGGCACGGAGTTGGGAAAACTAGGGAAGAGGGGGAAGTGGTGTACCAGATGAGTAAATGGGTCCTAACACATACGTAGCCACCGTTCTCAGGCTGCGTTCCACATTGCGGCAGCGTCTACCAGCGTCCACCAGCGTCCACCAGCGAAATCAGCGTCTCGAGGGACAAGGGAAGCATGGATATCGATTCAGCGCCTGCCAGCGTCCACCGACGACTAAGAGTAGATAGTGTGGGGAGGAGAAGAGGAAGGTAGCAGACTGGTGGTAGATTATGGGAAGTAGGAGCTACGAGACATTAGATTCGGCGTCGTGAACTTGTGACGTGTGCAACCGCACCGTACCACTACGTAGTATCGCACTTCTGTCGTTGGTGGACGCTGGTAGACGCTTGTAGCCGTTCACTAAATCGATATCTATACTTCCCATTCGCTGACGCTGACGTGGGCTCGAAACGCTGTTGATCGGCGGTGGACGCTGCTGGTCGCTGGTGACGCTGCCGCAAAGTATGGAGGCAGCCTCACATCTTTTTCCGACGAGAGTACATGGATCTTTCGAAGTCGAAGATGCCGAAACGTTGGTCGAATAAATGCTCCTCGAATCAACTACTTGTTTGGTTAGATTTCAACCCCATGTTGAAATGAAGAGATAGCCTATCCCACACTTATGGGTTGTAGTGACTGTAGGCAGGTGCCGGTACCGACTCATCCGTCAATAGTGTGCTAACGCTCTCCGAGCGAAAATAGGCCGCATCTAGGCTGAACGAAAGCTGTAATGGCGGATTACCTGTGCATTACTTCCACCAATGGTATATATCCTGTCACGTATAGGTAGCATTGCCTTGGCGCAATCATCGTATTCCTCATCACTGAAGTGTGCCATAGCGTTATAGAGTGGAATGCCCACTTCACGGCAAATCCTGGCTTGATCGTATTCGTCACTTTTTACGTTTCTGAAAAAAAACTGAATTTTTGATCATTACCCTGAATATTCCATTTGAGACTGAGCCCACGATTACAGGACCACGACCTGCAGGGGTCTTTCCCTGGAGGGTCGTTCAGCTCGACATAATAAATATTCCAAAACCTACTCTGCGAAATCCAGTAGGGTCTGATGCAAGCGTTGTTCTTGTTTTTCGAATCCAGCGCCAGCTTCTCGTAGCACAATGGCTTCAGAACAGAACAATTATCAATTTTTCCTTGATTTTTTTATCGGCACAAAATGAGCAAGTCTGCCCTCTCACCCTTGT